TATACAACATGCTCTTTACTTTGTGAATATTTGGTGGAATGGCCACTCAACATTTACAATATTTCTGAGCCAAGCTTTTGGTAATAAGCTTGAGACAATTTTTATTCCGCTTTTAAAAATCAAGATTCTGAAGCAAACCAATATGCGCCTAGATTTTGTATGACTAAAAGGACTGCAAAAGGTAAGTCAAAATGCGTGTATTATTACAGACTGCTACAGAGCCCCAAGAGAAATTCAATCCACTGCAGTAGATTTAGACCGTCTTTGCTTTTGGTTTGTATATTGTCTTTATAATCTTTCCCTACCTTATTTTCTCAGGGTCAGCTTCCTCGCCAGGTTCCTGAACTAGAACCTGACAAGAAGGGCCACAGATACTGGTAACATGCTCTTTGATAACACAGCAAATGCAGCCTTTTTCCTCTGCCGACAGTTCTAAGCCAGTATGGTTTAATTTTTTAGAAGAAAAATACAGCATCTTTAGCAATAGAGGGAAAACTGTAAAACCTTACAAAGCACGTGTATCCTAATAATAAATGGAAAGGAAGAATAATTTTTTAGCTTTATTCATGTATGATACAAAACATGATCTGGGATTTGCCCACTGATCTTACCTCTGGGGACAAATCTTGTAGGTAGTCCTGCAACTGTGAACTGGAAAATAGAGGAGCCAGGGGAGCCAAAATTCCCTGAGATCCTCCCTGCCGGCCACAGATGTGTTGCCAGTGTGCTGCTGGTGGACAGCACACACAGCTGTGCTGCTAACAGATTTTTTCCCTTTTGATAAGGATGAAAGGGAAACATTGCCTTTTTGCACATGCAGATAAAGGGGCAGAAAACATATAGACCCATTTTAAGGTGTTCAGGAGTCACCCCTTTACCTTAGAGTTTCAGTCTTTATTTAAAAGGAAGTTTCAGCCTTAACGACTCCTAAGAAAAACGTAAGACGACTTGACAGTATTACATACATGTGCGTCCCCTTGAAACAACAGTTTACCTGAAGCTCAGACAGATGTGCCCCAGTGCGATTGTGACTTAGAGATGTACTGCTCTGCAGATCCCATTTCCTACTGGCTGTTCAGAAAATACAGAAGTAACAGCAGTACAGCAGGCCCAGGCCTGGCATTGACTGGGTGCACCCTGGCTCCAACTGCTGGAAACCTCTAAAGGCATCTTCTACTCCAGGTGGAAGCAGAGGTCTCCTGATGGAGGCAGAAAATCCTTTGCTGCTATTTTGCCTCTCTGGTAGGTGACTGTTGTCTCATTGCTCATGTCCTAGGCCAGGAATAAGGGTATTGGTATAGCTGGCATAAGTGGAGGTGTGCTTACAGCCACAGACCAATTTTTTCTGAGAATGCTGGTATTTTTAAAATGAATAATTTATGGTTCAAATCTACCAGGATTAGTTTTGCTTTTATTTGAAATTACTTTCTTTTGGTACTTCAGTGATTGAAGAATACTCTCCACTGTTCCACTGAATATATTCTACTACATTAAAACAAATCTCAAGTGTGAATGATGTTAGCTGTTTATTTCAGGCATTTAATTATTGTGGTCTTTCCCACCATCAGAAAATAACATTTTATAGCACAACATAGTGGTTTCTGGACTAAAAGCTAAAAGCCAGTCTGGGTAGCACAGACACTAAGCCTTCTGAAAGCGCTGGGAAAGAAAAAGCTCCTGCATTCTTCTGATCTGTTGGCAGTTTCATCCATGATAGCTAAACCTGGAATTAAGGCTAAAAAATGTCCGTTGTTACTTAGCATTGACTTGGACTCTGTCAAAGTGCTTGGAACCATACAGAACAAAGAAGAGAACAGAATTAATGACAACTCTTAACTAGATGTGTGTGGAACAGCAAAGACATCAAAACCAGCTCACTATGGAAACTGAAATAATTGGCTTGTGAAGTTTCCTGAGAAATATATAAAGCAAACATTTACAAAGGTTATTGGATGGTGTCTTCAGTTTCATCCTAAATAGTCTCAAATTAGCAAGCCTATAAATTAGGTTTCCAATTTGATCAAAAAATTAAGATTGTTAAATGACAAATTTTAAATGTTCCTATTACATATGAGAAAAATGTATCAAATCTGTCCCTGGTAGATAGAAGAGGAAACAATACAAGGACTTCTGTGAGGCAGCTCACCACAGGCAGACCTGCAGCATCCAGTCAAGAAAGGCTGTGATTGTTCAGTATTACCTTCCTCCCAAAGGTCAACAAGGTAACACAGTGGTCTGGGAGACCTGAAAAGCTCTGCTGTGAACAGCCTGCTTAGAGGCTTGTGTGGAAAATGACAGTTTGGAGTGGGATAGACAATACGTGCTGGCACTGACAGTTCACTCTCCTCATACAAGAGCAAGGGTGGCTGCAACTGGAGCTCACAGGCCCCAACGTCAACACATGCCAAGTGGATGCTTCCTAAAAATGGCAGTAGACTTGCAGTACCCCTTGTCAAAGGCTGGAGTTGATGTGGGTTCACAGAGACCAGGGAAATTAATAGTACAGCAATCTATCGGGGGAGGGTACAAAAACTAAGGGGAAGGGGGGCCAAAAAACCCCTAAGGCATTCAGCTGAGAATGTCATCTGGTCAGAAGCTGGAAAAATATCCAGGAAAATATTCACAGAATCATAGAATGGTTTGGATTGGAAGGGACCTTAAAGATCATCCAGTTCCAACCTGTCTGACATGGACAGGATCACCTTCCACCAGACCAGGTTGCTCAGAGCCCCATCCAACCTGGCCTCGAATACTCTAAGGGGTGGAATATCCACAGCTTCTCTGAGCAACCTGTTCCATTACTTCCCTACCCTATGAGTAAAGAGTTTCTTCCTAACATCTAATCTAAATGTCTCTTACTTCAAAACTGTTCCTCCCTTGTCCTATCATTGTGTGCCCATATAAAAAGTCGCTCTCCCCCTTTTTTATAAGCCCTCATTAGGTACTGGAAGGCTGCTGTAAGGTCTCCCTGGAGCCTTCTCTTCTCCAGGCTGAACAGGCTCTCAGCCTGTCTTTAAGGAGAGGTGCTCCATCCGTCTGATCATCTTTTTGACCATATTATATATGTTTGTAGAGTTCTGACTTGTTTCCTTGGTACCTGCTGGTAGTTTCTTCTGAAAACAAGGTGTTAGTTGAAAAAAGATTTTCAGTACCATTAAGTGTGTTCCATTACTCTGTTATTTACTCTAGTTAAGTAGCTTACAGTGTCCGAAGTGGATCAAGGTTCTGCAGCCAGTTAAGCTCTGTTTTCTTGGTATGCTCTGAAAGAAAGAAAAAAAATCCACAATGAGATGAGATAAGTATCATCAGAAAACATTCACCCTTAGGTTGTTGTGACACCAGAAATGAAAGCTGACCTTGACAGTCAGCTGGCTAAAGCCCAGGGTACCTCACCAAGTACCCAGCAGTACTTCATGTAATTTTTGAAAATGTTCAGGTGAGGTAGGACTTTATACAGATACGTGGGAGTCAGGGGGGTGCATAAGTGTTTTCTGAGACTGATTTAATAAAGTCCAGCTTGGGAATGTCACACCATGTTTTTCTTTCAGGAGCTAACTGGCTGCCAGCCATTCCCTGACCTGAAAGGCAGCGCAAAATAGATTCACATAATCACAGAATTGTTAGGGTTGGAAGGGACCCCTGGAGGTCATCTGGTCCAACCTCCCTGCCAAGACAGGGTCACCTAGACCAGGTGACACAGGAACATGTCCACGTGGGTTTGGAGTGTCTCCAGAGAGGGAGACTCCATAACCTCCCTGGGAAGCCTGTTCCAGCACTCTGCCACCCTCAATGTAAAGAAGTTCTGCCTCATGTTGAGGTGAAACTTCTTGTGTTTTAGTTTATGGTTATCGCTCCTTGTCCTGTTCTCCGGGCACCACCAAAAAGAGCCTGGCAGCATCCTCCTGGCACCCGCCTTTAAGTTATTTAGTAATGAGGTCCCCTCTCAGTCTTCTCTAGACTAAACAGGCCCAGCTCCCACAGTCTCTCCTCACATGAAAGATGCTCCAGACCCTTCCTCATCTTTGTGCTCTCCGCCGAACCCTCTTCAGTAGCTCCTTGTCTTTCTTGCACTGAGGAGCCCAGAACTGGGCACGGCAACCATTTC